GAGGAGTTGGTGGGCAGTAGAGTGGCCCTAAAGAAGGACTCCAGGACATCCTTCCACTGTTGCTAGCGCAGAACCCTAGCCCTAACCCCAAGAACTTTGTTTAACATGGTGAATTTGAAATCCGTTCAGAAGAGAAAAAGGGGGACTAGAAATGGAATCTGTGTAAATTTGAAAATGACACTAGTATATGTTGGGGAAAGTGGGATAATCTTTTGTTCCTACTCCTGATCCCTGCCTACTCTTAAGAGAATTGATTTAATGTTCCTTTAAAAAAATTTTCAATGCAAGCCTTTTGATCAAAATTAATTAACCCACAGGGGCTTGATACTGAGACTTCATGTAGGATTGGGACAGTTGGTAAACCCAGTGCATAAGAATCACCTCGGGTGTTTATTTATGAGTCCCTTTCAAGAGGCTTGGGTGTGGCAGGTAGTGTCTGGCATGTGCGCTGGAGAGCGGTGGCTGAGGCGGGCCGGGGCATTGAGCTGAGCACCTGGTTGGCTTCTTCCCCCACACTGCTGCTTGCAGTGCCAGGCTTCGGCCTGCCAGACTTTGCAAAGGAGCTGTCCTGTGGTGCCCTTGAGTGTGGAGTTGTGCTGGGTCCTGTGTCTGTACCGGGCCCTGTTACTGCAGTTCACCCACTGCTTGCAGTAGCGAGCCCTCTGGCAGGGGCTGTGTTGCAGAAGGGGGCACACGCAGACGGAGCAGAGAAGCTGGCTGTACCCTACACTACACTGCTGCCTGCCTAGGGCAAATTGCAAGCGAACGGAAGAATAATTGCTTTCTGCTGAATCCTAGGCTAGCAAGACTTAAGCGAACAGATTGTGTGTGGTGGGACACGCCTGAAATCCCTGCACTTACAAGGCTGAGGCAGGAGGATCCCTGCATGTTTGAGAGCAGCTTGGGCTACAGAGTGTGTTCAAGGCCAGCCTGAATTACACAGCAAGACCATGTCTCAGAAAAGCAAATGAAACACACACACACACACACACACACACACACACACACTTGTGACTGAGTAAAACATTTTGATGGTGAAATGTTGCAAGGAAGAATCTTGAGTAGAAACTAAACATGAATTCTGTAAGAGATGGATAGGACAACAGGAGGATTTTTCTAGTGCAGAACTGTTTCTAGGCTAGTTTGTAGTAGGAACCTCTGTGTTTTATTGCTAGTCCTCCTTAGCTTGTTACTGTAGAAGCTGAATCCTTAAGAGGGACACCTCAGTAGTGCAGAATTTGTGACTGGCATATGTGCCCAGCGCGAGATAGGTGCACCGTCTGTGCCTCACACTTGCTGTGTGCATGGTTGCTCTCTCCAAGTGCTTACTCCAGTGCAGTTCTTCCGAGCTGGCCTGGGGGCTCGTGTGAGGAGAAGTGGCATGTTGATGCGAGCCAGCTTTCTGAGAGCTTGCAGAGGGTACCCTGATGTGTGATGCCCTTCACAGTTCATCTCTGTAACAAGGTACTGAGAGTAGGCTTAGGGACGAGAGGTTTGTTCATGGTAGTGTCCACCCTGAGCCTGTTGCCTGTGGGGCAGCATGCCTGGCTGGCCGGCAGGACTAGGGGAGAAAGCTGCTTGCCAGGGAGGCTGCGAGGGGGAGATGGCCAGCAAAGCTGTGCGCTCGTCACACCCCAGGGTTGGGGGCCCAGCGGGTCCCCCAACACTAGAGATTGCCCAAGGCACCTTGCAGTACTGGCCTGCTTGAGACCCTGAGGCCTCTGTCCCTGTGTGTTCAGGGTCAGGGATGGGAGGGTGCGGTTAGAAACCTTGCACTTGTTCTGTCCACATTAATTTGCCCTTAGAGTTGACAGATAGGAAATGGTTGAAATGTCGGCTGGTGTTGACTATTATCCCATGCCACGGTCTACATTTCCATGCCACTCACAGGACTTTCCGAGGTGGTAGCACTAAGCACTTGTACTTAATGATCATGCAGCTCTAGTGACTTGCCCCAGGCCATAAGTAAGTGTTTTTGTGTTTTAGAGATTGAACTCAGGACTTTGCACTCAGCTCCACTGCCAGCCCTTTTAATGTGGATGGAGTCTGGCCAAGTTGCCTGGGCTAGATTTGAACTCTCTTCCAGAATGCTGGGACCACAGCTGTGCATAAGCGGGCAGTGATGATCTACTTTACTTTCCTAGTTTTCTAGATTTTAATTCTGCCTTTGTGAAACAGTATCTCACTGTGCAGTTCAGGCTGGTCTTGGGCTCACTGTGTGTAGCCCAGCTGCCCTTGGACTTGCAGCTTCCTGCCTCCACCTCCCGAGTGCTGGCATTACAGCCACGTGCTACCATGCCTGGCTCTTCATTTCCTAGGCTTTATTTCCCTGCACCAACTTGTTTATGATGGAGGGAATATCATAAGAATAGATTAGAACAAGTTTACTAAAAATCCTTTTTCTCTTTTAATTGTTGGATTATTTGTTATAAAAATGTTTAAAGTAGCTTTAATCTTTTAAAAAGATCTGTCTGTCTATCTATCTATCTGTCTATCTGCTTATTTGGTACAGGGTCTTGCACGCAGCTTGGGCTCATAGTGATTCTCCTGTCTTAGCCTCCCCAGCGCTGGGATTACAGGCGTGTGCCACCATACCTGGTCTCGGGGGCTGGCACAGTACACCCAGGGCTCCAGGGCCTGTGTAGCATGTGGTACTGGTAATGGAACCCAGGTCCTTGTGATTGTCAGGCAGGTGCTTAGAATGCTGAACTATCTCCTCAGCCTCAACTAGTTTTTTTTTTTTTTTTGGTTCCTCGATTGCCTTCAGGGCACTTTTGGCCAGCGGGAGAGTTGTGAGATTCGAACTCCAGCAACCTGAGGCTGACAGCTTTGCGGAAGCAGCCACTTAAAGGACTGAGCTAGGGCCAGGCCCCCCCCTCAACTAGTTTTGAGTCTGGCAGATCATACCATTTTTAGTTGGCACAAATAAGAATTTACTACTATTGTTCTTAGCTTATATTAAGAAAGATAACCAAAACCCTCTACTAGCCAAATGATTATTGGTGGCAAAACCCAATGCTTAAAAAAACAAAACAAAACAAGATGCTTTGCATCTTCACTTGAGAAGTCATTTTACTTTTATGGTTCTTCTTTGGGACTACACTGTCCCTCGTGCTTCCTGTCCTTTGCTTGCCCTGCGTTGAAGTATTGCTGTCTATGAATTTGCTTGGGAATAGGCTTGGGAAGATAAGGTGACCAAGTGGCACTGTGGGAGGACAGTACACTGGTGAAAGTGACTGGGTGATGGTGGTTGGTGTTGTAAACCACTCATTTAGTATTGCGAGATTTAGTGACCTCCAGAGACTTGGAATTCATTTACCACAGGCCAGAAAAGGACTTGGGCCAGAGTGAGTGCAGTCCGGAGGGCTTGGGGAGCAGGGGCCAGACAGTGGCTTTCGGCTTGGGGTTGCACGTATTGTATTGTATTGTATTGTATTGTATTGTATTGTACCGTACTGTGTTGTGTTGTCTTTGGTACAGGCTCTCATGATGCAGACCTTCCTGTTCCAACCCTCCCCAGCACTGGGATTGCAGGCCTGCGCCACCGTGCCCAGTTTCCATGGCTGGCTGGGGTGGGGCTAGCATGGCACATGGTGCTGGTGATCCGGGTTCCTGTGCTTACCAGGCAGGCACTTAGACTGCTGAGCTATTCCCCTCTTCCCTTAAAGTAGGAAAATTAACTGGGGACTGGGATGAACCCCTGAGAGATAGGAGGGGCCTGAGTGGGTTGCCCATGAGTCTGCTTCTGGGATTTTTATTTTTATAAGAGCTGAGCCTGTATCTCAATTACTTAGTTTGACAAACTGAACTTCAAAATAAGTCATCTTAGCAATTCCAGGAAGCATCACAAATGAAGTCAGGGGGTGGACTGCTCCCTGGGAGAGAGGACCAGGTGAGGGGGAACAGAAGTACACCTGCAGCATGGAAGCGGGGCTGTGCAGGAGAGCGCACTGGCCAGAGGGGTTTGCATGCTGTGTTCCGAGAAAAGAAAACCTTACTGGTAAATTAACAAGTTAAAAGTTACAAACTGGATTTATAGAAATAGAAATGGCTCATGAACGTAAGAAAAAAAATAATCTCACAATAAGAAAAATGAAGGGAAAATAAAATTAAACCAAGATGATATATTTTAGCACACAGTTTGTTGGAAGCCTACCGTGGCTCACTGTTGGGTCGTGGACTCTCACTTGGGATGGTTCATTGGCTCCTCTCCTCCAGCATGCTTGTCTCCAGGGGACCTGAACCGGGGCTTTGCAAGGGCAGAGTGTGTTTGTCGTGGAGTTCTGAGCACCCAGAGAGGCCTTTAGTCAGAAGCTGTTTAGCATTCTTGATAACGCGACAGGGTACTCTAGTGAGGCAGTGAGGGACCTCGAGGATGCTGGCCCGCACCATGGTGCGCTGGCCCCGAGGCTTACCTTCCTTAGCTACTGCACTCCCAAGAGTGCTCCTCGTAGCTTCATTCACCTGTTTGTACAGTCGCATAGGGGATGCTCTGCAGGGGGTGCAAATTGCCTCCCAAGGACAGAGCAGGTCCAGGAGCTGCCACCAGGGGGCAACAGCGTGCGGGGTGCACCTGGGCTTGGTGCATGAGCCAGGGTGTTCTCAGAGAAGCACACCTTGTGTGCTGGAGCCGTGTGGGGACTTGGCAGGGAGCAGAGGAGTGGGAGGATTGACTTCTGATCTTTGTATTTTTGTAATCTCATGGAGCAAGTGAAAATATTTCCTGCCCAGAAAATGAAACTTAGGATAAAACTTGGAATGGTAGGTGCTGTAGAGACATACAGAGACTTAAAATACTTAACTATGCCAATAGGTGGCTTATTTCAGGGATAAACATAATTTCGTAAAGTGGTTCTAGTACTTGAACAGTGTTACTTTTGTGTATTTTATACTGTTCTTCAGAGTTCTATAAATAACATGAAACTGTACTTTGCTAAATGTAAATTTGTTCCATTGTTGTTGCAGCTAATCATCTCATCCTATGACCTTTTGTTTTTCAGTCCTGATGATATTGGGACCTGCTGGTATATCCTGCTGTCTGGTTCCGTGTTCATTAAGGAGTCCATGTTTCTCCCAAGAAGCAGGTACTGTATAGACGTTCTGCAGTGATCCATGAAGCTTGAAAATCTTTTGCAGAACTATTGTGCTTGTACTTGGGGCTGTTATGTGTAAATCTTCAAGAAATGCATACGTTATGCTGTAAGCACTGCTTCCGCTTTCTGAGCAAAGGAGAGCCCTGCTGGTGTCATGCTAACCTATTAGATGATCGTGTCAGTTGTTTCAGGGCGTGCTCAGCCCGTGTGGCTGAGGCAGAGGCAGAGAGGAGCCACACAGGAGGCAGCCTCGCATGCCTCTGCACAGAGCCCAGGAAGGCCGCCCAGGCTCTCGGGTGAGAGACACAGGCCAGCCTCTCGTGTGTGTATCTGCTTGTCATGGGGCTTCCGCTCTCCGAGGCTCTTGGCTTCTCTCTCTGAGACTTGGGCTTTATGTGCTGACTACTGATTTATGTCTGGTGGGCCTGCTGCTTACACTGCGTGAGTGCAGTGTGGTGTCTTGTTGACCTCTTCAGCGTGCAGCCTTACTGGCCCAGCCAGGCAGGTGGGAGTGCCTTCTCAGCAGCCATGCTTGCTGGGGACTCGCCTGCACATGACAGGCTCCTGAGGCTCAGGAGTTGTCTTTTCCTCCTACTTTTGTAGTTTTTACAAATAGTTATTTTTTATTTGGACCAAAGATTTTTATGTATTTTTATTTTCTGTTTAAATTGAATACATTTACAGCATTCCTTATTACCTAACTCCTACAAAATATTCTGGGTTAGTAGTTCTGAATGGATTAGGGTCGTGTTAAGAATCTATTTTAAAGATGTGAGCAGTTTTTATAAATAGAGTCAGTGAGACCAAGAGGAGGAGTTTTAGATTGGAGACAAGATGGCCTGGGTGACCACACAGGGGGTTGGATGGGCTCAGGGACCAGAGTGGTGACGAGAGGGTGTTGGGGAGCAGCCCCGAGTGGAACCAGGCATGACTGCCATGGCCACCGCCACTGCCGCCACCACCACCACCGCCAGTGTGGTTTTCCTGCCTTTCCTCTCTGCGTCTCCTAGGCCAGGTTGGTGAGCACTCTTCACTTTGGAAAATGGCCTCACGCAGGAAGGATTTCACATTTCTGTTGTTCCTTTCGACAGTAGTAATGCCAAAATGTGAGAACAGGATCAGTAGTGGTAGTAGTAATAGATGTAGGCACAGGTGCAGTGGTAGTAGTGACATGGGGATAACAGAACAGCTAAGGCTTTTGTAGTGCTTCCAGCTTCCCAGGCACCATTTGACATGTTTGGTGTGTGTTAAATTGCTAATGTCACCATTCTCTTCTGAGGTACTAAAATCTGCATTTTAGGGCTGGCCTGATAGCTCAGCGGATTAAAGCCCCTGCTTAGACAGATGCAAGGAATGGGGTTTAATCCCTGGCATGCTGTGCTGGCCCCACCTCTGGGGTGTGCTGAGATGGCCATTGAGACTGGGCATGGTGGTGCAGCCCTATAATCCCAGTGCTTGGGAGGCTGAAAAACAGGGGGATCAGTATGAGTCTGATCTATATAGTAAGACCCTATATTAAAATACAATAAATAAATAAGTCAATTCTGCATTTTATAGTTAGACTTGGGTGGTGTAGGACATTTGCACTCCTCCAGTTTGCCCAGAAGGCCTGGATGGCTGTGTGGCCCAGCTCCTATAATTCTAGGAGTTCCTATTTCCCAAAGAGGTGGAAGGTGAAGTACTTTTCTCTCCCCCATGCGGCTTACTACTTTGTCCCTCGGTTCTGTCTGAGTATGTACTTTTGAACTTGGAAAGTACAGGCAAACAGTATTTAAGCAGTAGAATTGTGCATATGAGTTAAAGACAGTGTGCATGTTGCGTCCTGTTTTTAAAATTTCTTATAAAGGTTTACTCTTTATAGCATTTTATGCCCATTTAGTGACCAGTTTTTGAACATTCTACAGTTCATACAGAGTGGCAAGTACTTTTTGAGTCTCTATTATAAATTATGGCTAATGAACATGATTTGGGGTTTACACATTGTGGAGAGGGCCCTAGCCAGTGCCACCACTGTTGTCGCAGTGCTGCGGTGTCTTTTGCCGAGTCAGCAGGCGCCCGTAGGCCGTGGCAGCTGGTGTGGCTTCTGCCAGGAGAACCTTTTGTTGAGAGGACTGCTGCTCTGGAGCAGGAGGATGTGCACGCACGTTCAGACCCGTTTCAGGAGCAGGATGGGCTCTGGTCTCGTTATTTTAAAAGATGATGTAAGTCCCTCTGTGGCTGTCTGGCGGTCAGGTGCTTGCGAGTTGGTGCCGTGTTGGGATGCAGGGACGGTATTTCAGGCTGAGTGACCAGCCAGCACTATATATAGGCTGCTGTTTCGCAGTTGCCCTTGGTGACATTTTTGCTGCCCAGTTGTTTATTTTCTTTTGGACTGTTGCCCTAGGAATAGTTCTGAGATTGTTGTAATGACAGAGAATCAGCCTGCTGGTTCTTTGCTCAAATCAACATTTGTAATACATAGATATTCCTCTCTCCAGAAAATACTGAATTTCAATATAGACTAGATGTTACTGTCAGCTCAGAGCTGCTGATGTTTTGAAACATCGTCTTGTGGTGCTTTGCACGCTGGCCTTGAGCCCACTATGTATCCTGAGCTCTCCTCAGACTTAGGTGCTGGGCTTACAGGTGTACACTACTGTGCATGGCTGCTAGTTTTATAAAACAGCTGGTTTGCAGATGGTTTTTTTTTTTTTTTTTTTTTCATACTTACCATGTGTTTATCACATAAGCTTGGAAGTTGGTTGCAGCTTATGAAATGAATAAACCAGGCATTCTCCTCAGCAGTACAGCCCTTGTTCCCAGGATGGTTGGTTCACTTGAGTGGTTAGTTTAGTCACAGTATCTTCAGCATTTTCATGTGTTTTGCTAATTTTCATGAGATTATTTTGACACCTGATTTTATCAGATAAGGATGACATATATTGCAGAAAATCTGTCATTTGGCTTCCAGATTCATTAGATTTATTGTCCTCAGTTGACATTTAAGATAGCATTTTATGCTTTTCTTTTTGTCTTTTTTTTTTACTTTTGTTATCATTTTAGATAGGTGAGTCTTGCTTGGCGATACACCTGGTACTTGGGTTGTGCAGACACGAAGCCTGTTCCCTGATAAGATTTGTACCACCAATAGAGTCTGTGAAATCTTACGTGGCTGTCATGAGTGACAGCTTACTCTTCCCTACTTACGCAGTTTTAGTGATGTTGATATTCTTTTTATGAGTCTTAAGTCTATTAGAAATTTATCAAGTCTTTAGTCTTTGAAATTTGTACAAGTAGCTGTAATGTTATATACACTATATATCAAAAATAGTGAACATAGAAAGTGCATTACAGAAGACACGTTGCTGAGTCCCCTAAAGTACGTGCTTTGAACACAGTTATCCTGCTGTTCTTTGCCTTGTGACTTTTGCTGTAGTAAGGTTTTGAAGTTTAAATGTTCATCAGTTTGATCCCTCCTTGTATTTTATATTATTATGTATAATGTTGGCCTGGGAGTTAAAGTCTTACTTAAGACAACAGTTTGCATTCTTGAAGCAAGTTGTCTTACTTGAAATAACTTCCAGTTGCATCCATGGAAAGGTGGTGAGCAAAAGTGATTTGTGGAGTGTGGGCTTGGAGGATGTGTTTTTTGCAGATGGGTGTAGCAGAAGCGGGAGCCAGGGGGTTTCTAAGCCGGAAGGCAAAGTGGGTTCGCGCTGTGCAGGCTGTGTGCGCGCAACTCTGTGAAGTGCTGCTTACAGTTGTAGTAGTTGGAGGTAGTGCTCTAAGGTTACTGACAGTGTGGTAAGGTGAGAAAGGAGCTTTTTCAAAGACATAATGTGCAGTAGTGGTGGGGCTAGAAGCCATAGAAGGACGTTATAAAGTAGAGGTTTGGAAGTGATTTTCTAATGTGTATCCTTGATCTGTGTCTTACCATGTGCCACAGGACGTCATTAATGCCACCATCCGTGTATCCTTGGGTGCCTAAATCAGTGGACTGGAAGAGCTGGTGTGTAATTTTACCATGAAGTCTGTGAGGTTAAAAACTAGGATATTGCCAGAGACAGCTGATCATTGCATATTGGTTCATGTACAGAGCTGTTGCTCGGAACTCATAAGTGCGTGCATGTCAGTGAAAGGAGACACTGTAATGTGTGCCCTTCTGCAGTGTGTGCACTGTGAGTTCCGAAGCCTGTTTTGTAATACAGTATAATAATTTGAGTTAATGTTGTTTTGGCTGCTGACTTTGAAAGGTTGAGAATTCTAATTAGATAATAAAAATAAAATAGGCTCAGAATTTGTTACTAGACTTGCTGTTTGGATTATTTGTTGTAGCAGGAGATAGTCTACCCAGGTTTTATTTTAGTTCATTGAGTTGCAGTGTTTTTCCTCACATTGATCAGCCATTTAAAAATCTGTTTGCAAAAATCAACGAACACACACCCAGAGACACGCCAACATAGTATGCTAGATAGTCAAGGCGTAAGTCTGGTACAAGACAAGGATGTCCTCTCTCACCACTCCTATTCAATATAGTTCTGGAATCATTAGCTACAGCCATTAGACAAGAGAAAGAAATAAGAAGAATAAGAATAGGTAAAGAAGAAGTTAAATTATCTTTATTTGCGGATGACATGATACTTTACTTAGAAGACCTAAAAAACTCCACCAAGAAGCTACTAGAATTAATA